CTCTACCTAAAAGTTTAAGTCTGAGGTGGCAATTCTCATATTCAAACTCGGCCTCACTTTACGCGAGACCAGAAAGGAAGCACGTCGACGAGGTTTTTCTCTTACCCACTACTCCAGTGTTGTCCTTCCCTCTGGCCCTCCCCCTTCTCAAGATGTTTCTACATCTCCCACTGTAGCTATTCGTCATCGATCTTACGTTTCCACTTCTACCCTCTCTCCCATTCAAATTATTTTGCCTTTTCAAAATCAGACACCCTAGTCTCTACATCTGCCCTGACACCTACCCTTTGCTCTCCCCGTAGCAAAAAATTTAAACGTTCCACCCCATCGCCTACCACACATCCTCCACGTACCTCTTCCTCTACCCCTCAGATGCCTGTCTCCTCTTTCCCCCTCTTAAGAAAACTTTAATTTCTCAAATCTACCTCACCATCTTCATTGCTGAAATTCTTGATGTTCAAAACTTTCAACTCATGTCCCTTACAGACAGAAACCCCTCACCCATCCTCCGAACTCTCCACTGGCACTCCCTCTAGACTCAAAGTGACTGCTGATATCCATCCTTCAACTCATGTTCTTCCTTATACCCCTTCCTCCTACTCCCTCTCAAAACTCCCCCTCCCCCTTTCATTTGCATCAACCCTTTTATAACAACAATGCCCTTTCCCGTAACGTCCTCCTCCTGATAATTTACCTCCTCTCCGTAATAGCTTCTCTTACATATCTTCCTGTACCGATTCCCATTTACCCTTTTGTCTCTTCCTCACACCCTTTTTGTCTTGTCTATAGTTATCCATTATGATATACTTCCCTTTCAAACCAGTGTTCCTTGCACTCTTATGTGCATCTGTCTTCGCCGTTGTATATCAGTTATTTCAGTCTGCTTCTCCCATTCCTATCACATTAACCTTGTTGCCTTTGAAACTCTGCCTTTCCAACCCCAAGCATCTTTCCTCATAGTTGGTTATTTTAATCGCCGCCACACTCGTTCAGGTGATTCCACCACTACCTCCGTGGCTGATCTTTGGAACGCTTTTCTCTCCACAACTGACCATTTTAGTTTTAATTATCACCCCACACTGACATGCGTACGCAATTTCTTCATGCCTTGTCCTTACTCTATGCTCTTTTCATTTAGACTTCCATTGGTCAGTTCTAGGTCACTTTCCTTCTAGTGAACACTTTACCTTTCTACTTCATAAATCTCGCTTTTTAACCACCCATGCTGGTTCTTTGACTGAGCTGACTGGCATGCTTATACTTCACTCTCTACTATTCTTCTCCCTTTATCATTCTTCTCGTCCACTTCAGATATGCTTCATTGTGTCAGTTACTAGCCTTGTCTTCGTCTAGGACCTGACCTGTGCCCAAGGGCCCAGCCAGGCGTGTTTCAGCTGTGAAAAGCACAGCTGTTGCAGACCATACATGCCTTTCGTTTGAGCAACATGCACAAGGAATTATTCTCTATTTTCGCCGAAGCATCGTATTCCATGACGGGTAATTTTTAAAAGGAAGAACGTAGACCGATTTATGAACGCTAATATGACGGGCCGTCGACGCGAGTGTAGATCCTCAGTTTCAAATGAGCCATTTTGTTTATTTGGTTTTGATTAAAAAAAAAAAAAAAAAAAAAACAATTGTGTGATATTTAACTAAATGTTTCATGAAAAATCTCTCTTTTGTCGACTTTATAGATGGTTAAAGACAATGATAATTTCTTTATGCGAATTAAAGACAGGGAATTTTAACTGCACCCTGGAAAGCCCGGAGACAGGAAAATAACCTTATCCCTCCACGTGTGTTCCATGGTGGTACTCTGATAATACCAAAGCGCGTATGCCTAGAGAGGATAGCTGTTGTAGGATATGATACCGCCATGTGGTATCATATGCTTTCTATAGGTCGAAGAATACTGATATGGTGGATTCATGGCGTGCAAGTGCGGATAGAATATAGGTTTCAAATGAGCAAGGGATCCGAACT